CCCAAAACAAAACAAAAAACCTCAGTGTGCATGTGCCACTGCCTGTCTTTGGCTGTGTTTTTACCCCCTGTATTGTGATGCCACTACCCTCCTTGTCCTGCACCTCGTCCGTCTGCGTCTGTCGTCTGTGCTCAGGGCCAGCATGATAGGGTTCAGTTCTTTTTGAAAAAAGAGAAAAGTCTCTTGTCCCGGTCGGAGAAACGCTGAGCTCTTCTTGAGGACTGACCCCTGTGGGTTACGGACGACCCCGACAGAGATGTAGGGTTTGCGCGCCACTCGTCCTGGTGCTTGTCCATCAGCTGCTGGTCAATCACTCTGTGCATATCATCCTAAAAGCAGAAAGGTAAATGAGTGAATGACAAGAAGGAAAGGTCATGTGGAGATGGCGTGCGGTGAGATGTTACAAGCACTTCTGGAAACATTGGACCCACTGAACAAGTTACCTGTTGGATAGTAATTATAGAAACACCACCATTACCTTTCACCTGTGGTAGATTTTTCTGTTCTGTGTCCTGTTCTTTTTTGTATATGTGTGTTTTTTGTTTTGCTGCTGATACAACCAAATTTCCCCTTGTGGGACAATTAAAGGATTATTCTATTGTATTATTCGATTCTATTCTAGATCATACGAACCTTACTACACTGTAAAGTCTTGACAAAAAGTAGTTTCCCCTCAGAATACATTATTTAAATCATTTTTGCGAGGCACGGGAATTTAAACTTATTAAGTAATTCACTAAACAAAGTAAAGGATTGAAAAAAAAAAAAGAATAAAACAAGCATAATTTTGGCACATTGTGTAAGAGTCCACTGTTCTGAACTGCACCAAACACTTTGAATCTGATGCCAGATTCATTCTTGGTTGTTGTTGTTGAGGTATAAAGCCACCAGAGGGCACTAACAAGCTGTTTAAGAAAGTGGAAACCAATTGTGATGTCAGACTGACTCTGGGTACCTGGAAAAAAAAAACAACCATAATTTAATTTATCCCCTAATGTCACCGACATACAGTAGCAAAAATATAACCATACACAATTCAAATATTGTGACCTGCACTTCTGAAAGGGGTGTTCTCTCAACAGGTAAGCTGACCAGTGGACCGGCATATGCAAGTGAAAGCAGAGAGGACACAAACAGGTGGTAAGAGAGGAGGTGGTGGGTTTAGATGGTTCTCTGTGCTGGTTAATGGTTTCAGATGGGGAGGGAAAAAAGAGCTGAAATGGGCATTTCTCTTGGCATGGAATGGCTCAGCGGTGGCTGGTTTAGTTGGTGCGAGGTTAAACGGCGAGATGGCACTGCCCGGCTCACCTCTAAGGCAGGAGGGGGGGTGGGTACCACAGGGGAGAAGGGGTGGTACAGACGCTGAGAAAGGCCACTAGATCAGAAACCACAAGAGCCAAACAGTAAAGAGCCCTGAGGAGGCAAACTGTGGGTTGGGAGGAGAGAGAGGAAAGAGCAGCTTGTTACAGATAAAGGGGATGGGGAGGGAACACGCACACACAATATGTTCAAGCAAAAAGTCTAACACAGTACTGTGTGAAAGTGTTGAGTCACCCTTTGTGGGTGGGGGTAGAAATTTATTGAAACACAATCTTGAAAGTCAATAT